TTTCTTTCTGTTTCTCTGTCAGTCTTGTTCAGCTCTTTGACTCTCCTGCACCCTGTCCTGCTTCATGTCAGTCTTTCCCCTCCCCTTCCAGTGTCCTCATGTCCTACCTCCTCCACTCCTTCCTCTTCCTCCCAATATCACTGCCCAACCTCTGTGTAAGTGCCAGCAAATGGGCCTTGAGGTGGAACCAGCACCACAATTACCATTTCTTCCTCTCATCCCCCTACCCAGGGCCCCTGAGAGCCCACCCGTCCCCCAGTCCCCTACTGGGCAGGCCAGGCTGGAGTAAGTACAGAGGCCAACCTGCCAGGCCTGCCATGTGCTCAGGGCTTCAGCATTGCTTCCCCAGCAGGGGTTCCACATGCCCCCTGGCAGCCAGAACTGGGGGATTCTCAAACCCTGCTCCTGCCACCAGATTAATGCCTCCATAGTAACCCAAAAGTGGGAAAGCAGTTCACTGGGGTCAGAGTAGTCCCTGTGCTTCAATAGTGAAACTTTAACAGCTTAGACCAGAAATGGGGATAGGGATACCCAGCTCAGGAACAGGGCAAGGAGGGCATCTAGGGTGCCGTGTGGTATGTGGGTAGTGGAGCAACCTAACGCTGTGGGAAGGGCACTGACAGGGACCAACAGAGGCTGGAGGGGCCAGAAAGGAAACATTGGATAGCATAAACTTAAGTGCCTACCCTTTCTGCAGGCAGGCAGGCTGTAGGGCTCAGAAGCTGCCAGACAGGCCAAAGGAGGGATAGCCATTCCCTTCTGCTCAAAAGTTCCTTATAAAGTCAAGATAGTGAACAAGAAAGTTGCAAGTTAGATGTTAAGTAGAGCTTTTCCCTGTAGTTTGACATAGGAATGTTGGGTTGGCACTACTAACTCCCCAGATGTGGAGAGTTGAAAAGGGGCTTGCCTTGAGGGGACAGGGGTCTGCTCAGCGCATGGACTATTCCCTGTGCCTGTGTGTGCCTGCAATTGGGGGCAGTGTCCAGGAGCTCAGCAAGGCATGTGTATCACTCTGGGATGCACTTGTGTCAGATACCATCACTGACAAGTATCTCCCCTCAGAGCCCGGTTCCTGGAAGGTGTGGCAGCAGCAGAAACAGAGAAGCAGGCTGCATTGGCCCAGGGCCGGGCAGAAACACTGGCTGGGGCCACACYAGATGAGGCTGATGGACCCTCAGGTGAGTAGACAGGTGGGCAGAATCCAGAATCCCACCCTTATTGTGCATAGAGGGCAAGATGCCAATAGCCACTTCTTTTTCTAGGCATCCGGGAACTATGGGACTCCTCAGAGCCAACCCCTGCACCCAGAACACCCCAGAGCCCTGTCCCTCGAGTCCTGCTCCAGGCCCAGCGGAGCCTTGAGCTGGAGCCTAAGGAACCACTGATGCCACCAAGCCCCAAGGCTGAGCCCATCCAGGAGCTCCCAACCCGTACACCAAAGCTCTGCATTGGGGACCTGGACTTCTCAGATCTGGGGGAGGATGAAGACCAGGACATATTAAATGTAGAATCTGTGGAGGCCGGGAAAGGGGCTCCACCCCCACCTCCCCCACTTCCCCAGCACTCTGGAGGCTCCCCACCTCCTCCCCCTCCACTTCCCCTGCACTCTGGAGGCCCCCCACATCCTCCTCCCCCACCTCCATTCTCCTGCCCACCACTTCCCCGCTCAGCACCTGATGGCCCAGCTCTCCCCACCAAGAGGAAGACTGTAAAACTCTTCTGGCGGGAGCTAAAGCTGGCTGGGGATCATGGGAAGTCTGGAAGCCGCTTTGGGCCCTGCACCACCCTGTGGGCCTCCCTGGAGCCTGTCACAGTGGACACAGCCCGGCTGGAACACTTGTTTGAATCCCGAGCCAAGGATGTACTTCCCTCCAAGGTAAATACACCAGAGATGGGGAAAATCATCTCCCACATGGGGAAACCAGGATAAAGAGAGGAAAAGGACTTGGGCTCTCTTAATAAAGTATTGATAGAGTCCTAACTAGAATCTCAGCTTATCCCAATGTTTTATGTGTCCTGGGTTCCCATTTGTAGGATCATTAAGCCATTCAGAGGAATACCTTGGAGTGCTCTCAACTTTGCTGCCCCAGCTAGTCCTTTCCCCAATCTTTCACTGCTCTTCCCCCCATCTTGTAGAAAGCTGGTGAGGGCCGCCGGACAATGACCACAGTGCTGGACCCCAAGCGCAGCAACGCTATCAACATTGGCCTAACCACTTTGCCACCTGTGCATGTCATTAAGGCTGCCTTGCTCAATTTTGATGAGTTTGCTGTCAGCAAGGATGGCATTGAGGTGGGGATACCCAATGGATGTGAAAGGGARGTGGGAGATCTGGCCATCTTTCTGACATTTCCAGTCTCTCTGGTGGTAGGGATGGGCTTAACATATCTGCAGGGCATTTGCCAGACCCTGGGAAATGACTAAAGGAGGAGTGAGAGATGACTCAAGGAGCATGAGGCCTCAGGCTAACACTGTGGGGCGGTGGTTGCATCCTCAGAAGCTACTGACCATGATGCCCACGGAGGAGGAGAGGCAGAAGATTGAAGAAGCCCAGCTGGCCAACCCTGATATACCCCTGGGCCCAGCTGAGAATTTCCTAATGACTCTTGCCTCTATTGGGGGCCTGGCTGCCCGCCTACAACTTTGGGCCTTCAAGCTGGACTATGACAGCATGGAACGGGTATCTGGGTCATAAAGTGGGACAGGTAGTGGGGACAGGTAAGCATGATGACCATGAGTCTAAAGCCCTTGGTTCTCCTACACCAGGAAATTGCAGAGCCACTATTTGACCTGAAAATGGGAATGGAACAGCTGGTGCAGAATGCCACCTTCCGCTGCATCCTGGCTACCCTGCTGGCTGTGGGCAACTTCCTCAATGGTTCCCAGGTAAGTGAGAGCACAGAGGATTAGAGGTCAGGGCTCTGGAGCCAGCCAGGCCCTGGCTCAAATGGAGTCTTTCAGAGCAGTGGTTTTGAGCTGAGCTACCTGGAGAAGGTGTCTGAAGTGAAGGACACGGTGCGCCGGCAGTCRCTGCTGTACCATCTCTGCTCCCTGGTGCTGCAGACCCTACCTGATTCCTCCGATCTCTACTCAGAAATCCCTGCCCTGACCCGCTGTGCCAAGGTTAGCACCAGCAAAAGATTCAGTTAAAATGGGCTGGGGCACAAGCGAGCATTTCTTCCTTGGGTTGGCTCCTCCCCCTTTTCCCTATTTGGGCTGTGCTAGGGTGTGCTCCAGCTACAGGTGTGTGAACTATGCTCTGCCTCTCTTGGCCAGGACACACCTACTCAGTCTTTTGAGTCTCAGTTCAGCTGCCACTTCCTCCAAGAAGCCTTCTGTCTCTGTTGCATCAAATGGACTTGTCTCATATATTAGATTGAACTTTTGGAGAGCAGAAGCCAAATGTTAGTTGTGTCCCTAGGCCCACAATGGCCAGTCTGGCAGAGGCAGCCTCAGGCAACCTGTTACCTTTGGGGTAACAGCTCATGTACCCACTTGCTTTTCCAGGTGGACTTTGAGCAACTGACTGAGAACCTGGGACAGCTGGAGCGCCGGAGCCGGGCAGCTGAGGAAAACCTGAGGAGCTTGGCTAAACATGAACTGGCTCCAGCCCTGCGTGCTCGTCTCACCCACTTTTTGGCCCACTGTGCCCGCCGTGTTGCCACCCTGAGGGTAGTGCACCGCCGTGTAAACAACAGGTAGGGGTATGGGCCCCAAAGAAGCAAGACTGCCACCACCATCTCTCAAAGGGCAAGCAGGACTGTCCATCCCTCCCCCACTCCAACCTGCCTAGGTTTCATGCCTTCCTGCTCTACCTGGGCTACACTGCACAAGCGGCCCGTGAAGTGCGCATCATGCAATTCTGCCACACGCTGCGGGAATTTGCCCTGGAGTATAGGACTTGCCGTGAACGAGTACTGCAGCAGCAGAAGAAGCGAGCCACTTACCGTGAGCGCAATAAAACCCGAGGACGCATGATCACTGAGGTAGTTACCCTTCTGAGTCTTGACTGCCACCCCTTGGTTTCCTTCCCCTACTCTCAGCTCATCCTTTTCCCATCCTCAGACAGAGAAGTTCTCAGGTGTGGCAGGGGAAACCCCCAGCAATCCACCTGTCCCAATGGCTGTGGGGAGTGGACCAGGACAGGGTGATGCTGACAGTCATGCCAGTATGAAAAGTCTGTTGACCAGCAGGCCGGAGGACACCACACATAGCCGCCGCAGCAGAGGTAGACCTATAGCTGCTGTGGGGAATGGGTAATAAGGCCACCTTGACCTAACCTCCCTATCTGGTCTCCCACAGGTATGGTCCAGAGCAGCTCCCCAGTCATGCCACCAGCAGTGGGACCTTCCACTGCACCCTCTGAAGAATCCCCAGGCTCCAGTTTACCCAGTGACACATCAGATGAAATCATGGACTTGCTAGTGCAATCAGTGACCAAGAGCAATCCCCGAGCAGCTACAGCTCGAGAAAGGAAGCGTTCCCGTGGCAATCGCAAATCTTGTGAGTACCCACCATAAGTCCACTGCTTGCCCGAACCCCATCATCCCCCTCCAACCCTACTCTGTCCCTACAGTGAGACGAACACTGAAGAGTGGACTTGGAGATGACCTGGTGCAGGCGCTGGGTCTGAGCAAGACTCCTGGCCTGGAAGTGTGAAGGTGCTGCCTCAGGAAATCTAGCTGGATCCCAGCCTGCAGCATAAGAGACTACAGAGCAAGGAGAACCCAAAGCAAAATTCTGGTCCCAGAACCCAGTGTCCAGGGACTGACCAGTACCTTAAGCAGTATTAGGTGTGTGTGTGTGTGTGTGTGTATGCGCGTGCATGCATGGGCTCATGTCTGAGCTCCCTACTTGCCGCAAAATAAAGTTTTCAGAGCTAATTCCAGAGCCTTTTTCCTTTCAATGTCTCCCCAAGCTGAGCCGGTAGCAAGAGGGAAATACCATACGACTAGTTCTTCCTGCTTTGTCCCTTATTAACTCACACACACACCCATTAGCCACATTCTAAGACATTTATTCAACAATTCTATACCTCAGGCTGCTTTTGGCCTGGACTAGGCTCTCATTGCTCCAGGCACTGARGCCATGCAACCCAGTGCCCAGGAGCCTATGGCCACAATTTCAATGGCTATAGCCGCTTCATCTGCCGCCGCTCCTGTCGGCGCTGCCGTTTCTCGTTGTGCTCCGGTGCTGGGGTGCCACTGTCTGCTGTGAACCAGGGTCCCAGCACATTCACCCATAAGAGATAAAGGGCCCGGCCTGGAGCCTAAGAGAAAAGATAACTTGAAGTTGGGTGCAAAAAATGAAGGATAGGGAGGGTTAGATGCCTTTTTTAAGGAAACCCTCAAGCCCACATACCAGAAGCCAAAAGGACCAGATATAGAGGGAGAAGCAGCTCAGAACCTGCACAATAGCTGTCAGCAGGATCACATCCTTAAGGTGCCTGTGGATAGAAGGGAGGTTGCCAAAGACAGTAAATGGGCCCCATTTTGTTTTCCTTCCACTTTCTTCAAGTTACAGATAGCTGTGAGCCTTAGGTTCTCTGGGCCCCAGTGCCCCAGCCCTGGGGCCGCTCACCTGGGCTGGCGGTGGGGGACACTCACTCTGCCATGCCCTGTTCCATGTTGAGGTCCATGCCACCATCCATCAAGGCCCCATCTTCAGAGAAGGCTGCCCGAGCCATCGAGCTCATAGAGTGGTAGCTGGCCCCATATACTGCCAAACTAAAGCCAAGGGCCATCTGCAGAGCAAGAATAGGGATATCAAAACCAACCACTGGACCTATGCACTCATCCACTTTCCAGGATGAAGATACTTACCCAGGCCCAAAATGAGGCAGATGAGTAGAAGACAACCAAGGTCACAAGGCAGTAAATGGCCTACAAACAAACAGGATCAGGCTGGGGTCAAAAGATGCTTCAAACCATGGGCCTCCCACAACTGTACCTAAGAACTAGGTCAGGCTATGGGCAGAACCAGATGCATGGCTAGACAAAGATTCTACCACTGAGCTACACACCCCAGTCCCCTCTCATTTCTTTTTGAATGTACTTCTTTGGAGCCTTAGCTGTCACCACCACTCTTCACCAGAGCTGAGTACTGCGGAGCTACGTTGAGAAGAAAGGCAGATACTTACGTTGGCCCCCAGTATGATCCTCAGATAGAACTTTAGGGTCTCTCTGTTCTCTTCAAATATCTGCTTCTTCCCTCTGGTGCCCACTTTGCCCTTGGGCTGCAGAGGAAATATGAGATGCCGTCAGAGCTCTTCTCAGCCCCTCACTTCCTCCCCCACCCTGGTTGGCTACAGTGTCCCATCTGCATCTCAGCCAGGTCCCCACGGTCCCTGGGATGTCCACTCCTCCTCCAGTCCATACTGTCTAGAGCTGACACCATCTTTACAGCATCCCCAGCTTCGATTGCTTCCTGCTGGTCCTGAACAATCGAACGCTAGGCTTATGCCTTCTCCAGCTCCCCCAGCAAGGCCCAGCTTTGGGCTGACAGCACCTCGAGGGCACTCTTGAGTGGGGTTATATGGTACCTCTCTCGGGCTTCTACTGGATTGCAGATGTGAAAATAATGGCGAAATAACACACCCCCTCTGGTACTAGTTTTGGTGTGGTCCTGCGCCGCCATCTCTGTCTCCCTTCAACACCCCGCTCACTCTAGTATAGTCCACTCATTGGATAGCGCCCTCCTCTGGCCCGTCCCGCATCCCTTGATGTCCCTCTATTTTCATTCTCCAGGCCGCGGGAGATTTGCCCATGTGGACCCCGCCCTACCCGTCCTCCTTACCGCCATGGTGCGACGCAAATACCCAGGCAGGGAAACAAGGGCGAGCGAACCACACCAGACGGTGGGTACCACATCGGCAACGCTTGCACTTCCGGTGCAGACCAAAATCGTCAGATCATGGACGGAAGTGGGACTCACTTCCTTTCCCAAGTCCCGCCCCCAGAACTAACGGAACTACATTTCCCAGAAAGTCTTGCGCGGGGGCGGAGGCGGCAGGGATGCGATGGCGGAGTCGCTGCCCCTGGAGGTGAGAAGAAGCCGCCCTCCGGCCTAGCTCCGGACAGGCCCCGCCCTTGGGGTCCCGAGCTTTGGGGAGGGACTGTCAGTAAGCTCGCCTTGCGCCTTCCGCCTGGCGGAAACGACCCGCCCGGTGGATCCCAGGACCTGCAAGCTCTGGGTAACGGCCCCACTTTTGGGCCACTCTATCCCCTTAGCTTGGGGAACCGTCCTCTCCTTCCCAGTCGGCCCCAGGAGATGCCTGCTCTGTCACCTTAGCGAGGACAGATTTCTGCCCATCCCCTTCGTTTCAGATTGCCGTCCCCTCCCCCTCAGTTCTGGAAGATGTCTGCTCCATTCCATCGTCCCTGAAGGGTAACCGATCTTATCCCCGTTGGCCCCTTGGGTTGCTCACTCCACTTCCTTCGTCTGCTCTCCCGGGCAGTGGGAAACAGACTATTCCCTCCCCATCAATTCTGGGAATGGTCGCTGAGGTTCTTTAGCAAAGACAGGCCTGCTACCCGGCCCCTAGTCCCATAGTGATGGCGCCCCTACCTCTTTCACCCCATGGGCTGTTTGATTCTTCTTAGCCAGGGGCAAGACCACTCTGCCTTCTGCCTTCCTGGGCCAGAAGATAACAGGTTTTGTCTCCAGTGCCAGTGGTATCTTGGAATGGCCTCTCCATCCCTTTTGCCCTGAAGATTGCATCCCCCTCCCACCACCCATAGGAGTGCTCCCTCTCAGCAAAAATAGGCCTGCTCCCAGTTCAATGAGTATTCTGCAACTGTATCCATTTCTTCCTTGGCCCCAGAGGATATCCATTTTTGCCCATAGATCCCGTGGATTTTCCATTGTATCTCTAGAAGCCGCTTGGTATGTCTAGTAGCCCCTTGGGATGGGATTCATCCCATTCTCTAGTCTCTCTATAAAGACCACCTTTCTAAGCTTAATTAATCATGTCCTCCACTCCCATGATCAATTTTTTTCCCCTCCCTTTGCTCCTGGAGTTAGCTGCTAGCTGTTTAGCTTAGGAGACAGGATGGCCACTATCTTAGCTCAGCAGCTTCCCTGCTTCCCCCTAAGGATAGGAGCTTGGTCATTCCCAGTCCCTGTCAGTACTCTCTTCCCCATGCTTCCCCTCCCTAACCCAGGCTGTACTTCAAAGTCATTCTCCTCTCAGTARTCATCTGCTTTATCTCCCTATCCCTTCCCTGAGCAAATCTTTGGTGAAAATAGAGGTAGAGGACTGCCTATCCTTACTATAATCCTGTAAGTATTGACAGAGCATCTCATATATGTTCAGCATCTGAGAAGGGAAGGAGAAATCAGAGTGGAGTAGTGAAATCAAGCTTAAGGAATGACAACCCAAGAAAGAGGCCCACAAGACATGCTGTGTTTGTAGGGCAGTAGAAAGGATGGATCAGGGAAGCTCTAGGACCAGTGGACCAGATCAGGCATGGAGACCTGGCAGTTCTGCCTCAGGAGTGGAGACTTTTTCCTGAGAGGACTGAATAAYCCTGAAGGTTTCCATCAGGAGTATGCTGAAACAGGAAACAGGTTTTGTTTTGTTTTGTTTAGGACAGTTAACCTTGTGACAGTACAGAAGGGATTAGCRAAGTTGAACTTGAAGGTAAGGTCAAGATTGTGGAAGGAATCCAGGTCTGGGGTGATGAAGATCTTAGCTGCTATAGTGGTAAAGTTGTAAAGGTAGAAATATTAGTAACAGTAATCCAGCAACCATTTATGGATCATCTAGTCCCTATAAGACTATGATCTAGATTTTTTTAAATGTCTGTTTCATACATACAGAAACTGAAGTTCAGAGAGGTCAAGTACACTGCCTGAAGAGACACAGCTAGGAAGTAATGGAGCTGGGATTTGAATGAGTCTTGGTTAGTGTTTCCTAAAGCCTCTATTTTATACTTGTWTTTTGAAATAAGGGATAGAAGAACATGAGTCCAAAGTGTTACCAGGACCTTCAGATGGGGTGCAGTATTGGCATTAAAGGGGAAAGTTGGACTGAAGGCAAAATATCWATTAAGGTGATGGTGAGTCATTTGGGAAGATAGTTGGCAATACTGGACTTGCACTTGGTACGTAGGACAATATGAGGCACTTGTTGGTTGTTTATGTATGAGTAAACTGAAGATCAAAAGACCCAAGTGTGAAGCCTGGGAGTCACAGAAGAATCCAGAAGCAGGCCAAAAAGAATGCTGGGCTGAGGCCTAGAAAACAATGTTACAGGTCTCAAGAAAGGAAGATTTGAGAAGGAAAAAAATAGCTAATAAATTGTTCTTAGCCTCACAAGTGACCCATTTCCAGTCAGTCCCCTTTAGAGCATCCAACCTCACCACCCCAGCCTCATAGAGTATAGATGGAAGGAGAGCCAGAGGCTCCCAGGGTGGGTCTTGCTGGGATCATTTCTTAATAGCCGGTTAAGAAGGCAAGTTGGCATTGGAGAATTTGGAAAGAGTGAGGGTCCCAGAGCTGAACTTGTGAGGGCAGGAGGAGGAAGTGGGGCTTCAGAGAATCAAAGGAAGATATTTGACTTGCCGTGTTCCAGATCTATGCAAGACACTGTGCTGTTACTTAATTCTCACAGAAACCCATTTAAGTCTCATTACATTGCCATTTTATAGATAAAGAAAACAAGGATCAGAGAGATCATTAACAGATTAGGGATTTGAAACTAGGTTTATATGGCCCCAATATCCCAGGCTTTTTCTATTAAACTGGGCAGGAAGTTTGATTTTTACCAGTTAGTAAAAGTGTGCATCCAGAGAGGGCTCAGGAAAGTTTTACTCACAGTGAAGATGCCTGGAAGTTGGAGAGGGGAAGTGAATACTCTGTGAAACTTCAAATCCAAAATGAATCCACTGTGCTATCAGCTGGAGTAGGTTCCAAAGGACCCCCCAGCTCTAACAGCCCCAATGCCCTGTCTTTTTCCCTCAGATGCTCACGTATATTCTGAGCTTCCTTCCTCTGTCAGATCAGAAAGAGGCCTCTCTCRTGAGTCGGGCTTGGTACTGTGCAGCCCAGAATGCCCTTCGGGAGGTAAGGTACCCACCCACCTGACCCATTCTCAGTTGTCTGTCACTTCAGCTTGCTCACAGTCCTGTTCATATGTCATCTATTCATCCATCCATCCATTCTGATGTACTCCTACGTCCATGCATACTGGGCTTAGGACTGGGGTTATACAGATGAATAAGATAGTTTWCTAAGGAGCTCATAGTCCCATGAAGGAGAAAGACAAGTAGCATGAATGATCATGATATCATGTGCACAGTGTTGTGGCCCTGGCATGGAAGGGTGCAACAGGGACCTGAAGAAGGATATGCAAATGAGGTTGACCAGTAATTCCAGGGAAGGCCTCCTTGAGGAACAGGGTGAAGATGAAGGTTGGTTTTCTCGGACCAGTAACAGCACAGATAGAGACACCAAGATGTGGAATAGTCCTGGAAATGACCACAAAGTTCCATGTAATTGTAACTGARATACATATGGGAGATGAGACTAAAACGGAGGCAGACTGTAAGCTGACAGATGTGCCAGACAGCAGAGTTGGGTTTTCTCCTGATTACCATCTTGAGCCCTTTAAGGAATGATAAGGCAAGCGAGTGACAGTTTGTGACTGTATGTTAGAAGCTCTGCAGTACAGTTGGACTGGAGAGGGCAAGCTTGAAAGTAGGGAGGCAGCCTCGCCAGGAGGTAAATGCAGACCTCTTACTAGTTTGAAAGGCAAACAATAATAGCTCTTAGCACTGATTTCTTTTATGATCAGTGAGGTTGAACAGTTTTTCTCATTAGTTTACCATTTGTATTTCCCTCTTTTTTTTGTTTGTTTGTTTATTCATGTTCTTCATCCTTTTAACTGCTAGGGTCTTAGTATTTTTCTTACCCATTTGTATGAACTTCTTATACATTAAAGAGATTAATTCCTTATATATTTATTGAAATATATTTCTAATATGTTTGCCTTTTATTTTGATTGGTAGATATGTGTTTTTATTTAAGAGATGCAGAAATAAGTTTCTGTGTTGTTGTTTCTCAACATTGCTTTTCTTTTTATTTCTTCCATTGTTGCTTAAACGTGAAGATCCCTTGCCTCCTCTGAGATCTGATAAATATGCCCTCATTTTTCTTCTTTTTCTCAAAATAGACATTATTTCTTAGAGCAGTTTTATGTTGACAGCAGATTATTTCTTCTGTCTTATGATTTGAATTCTTATTGGTAAAATTTATTTTCATTTATGTTATAAGAAGCTAAASTGATTAATTTTCAAATAGCCCCAACACCATCTTCCCCTTCTTAGGTTGGAACCCTCACCTGTCACATAACAAAACATATGTATTAAGTAGGGTCTGTTGTCAAATTTTCTATCCAATGTCAGTGATTTTAGTATCTGAGGGTATCTGACTTTTGACTTATTGAAAAATTGAAGTGTGAGATATTTAGATAGTGCAATCCAGTTAGTAGTTCTGAGTGAGGAATTTAAGAGAAAGGTCTGGGTAATGAGTATAGAATTGGGTGTCATTAAAGAATTGGATAGGGGCCAGGTGTAGTGGCTCATGTCTGTAATTCCAGTGACTTGAGAGGCGTGGAAGATCACTAGTTTAAGGCCAGCCTCAGCAACTTAGCAAGGCCCTAAGCAACTTAAAGAGACCCTGTCTCAAAATAAAAAATAAAAAGGGCTGGGGATGTGGCTCAGTGGTAAGGCACCCCAGGGTTCAATCCCCGGTACCAAAAAAAAAAAAAAAAAGAAAGAATGTATGGATCTGGGGGTGTAGCTCAGTGGTGGAACACACTTACTTAGTATTTGTGAGATCCTGGGTTCTATTTTCAGCAAAATGAAAATTTTTAAATGGATAGAAATGAAACCACAGATCTGAGTAACCTCCCCCAGGGAAAACATGAAGAGCCAGAGAACAGCAGGCAGGCCATAGCAAATTCTCCAGCGGGAGGATGCCAGTCCAAGGCACAGCAAGGAAGAGACATCTCTATTGAAGTGACTGAGGAGATTCCAAAGAGGAGGGCATAGAGTCCAAGACAGGAGAGCTTTAAAGGATCAGGTGGATGATTAGTGGTGTCAAATGCCATAAAGAGTTCAGAAATTTTTTTTTTTTTAAAGAGAGAGTGAGAGAGGAGAGAGAGAGAGAGAGAATTTTTAATGTTTATTT